ACACAGACAACCTCTCGTCAATATGCGTTTTTCGCATTGCATTGCTGCAAAAAACGCATAACAAACCTCAGCATCAGCAACATCTTCCACTCTGTAATAACACTGCTTATCCTGAGCATAAAAGCCTGCATTGCCTAACTGCACTTCAGTGCCGGCTCCTGATGAAAGTATCAGAGCAGCAGCAGGATTACAGATCATCATTTCTTTGGCCACAAGATTCATACCATCCTTGATCGGTGTTACAACACCAACATCCATTGCCAGATAATGCAACACTAGCTTAGACCGAGGCAACCCTGAAAAATTCACGATAAGCAGAGTTAGAAAATGAAAAAAAAAGGTATTTTTTGTTGAAAACGTACAGCATTCCGAGCACTAACTAATGTTTAAAAGCACCTGCGCCCACTTCTAATGGGACGAAATCCCCAACTTTGAAATAAAACAATGGAAAAGAAAAAACATGCAGACAGAGGAAAACGAACAGACCGCGTACCATCCATGTCAAATTTAATCGGCTTCCAATTCGGATATTCGCTGCAGGGAAAAGCACTATTCACTTCGTCAACAATCTTCAGGCAATTGTCCTGATACACGCGATATGATTCAACCGACCGCCGATTAGTAACCGCTACCTGATACAACACATCCAGTCCGATACGTTCCGGATATTTCTCAAAGTAACGCTTCCACGCCTGCAAATAAAGCGAAATGAAATCAGAAAACTTACGCTCATCATGCGTTTTTGTCGTGCAGCGCTAGAGCGCTGCAAAAGGCAGCAAAAATGTATGCTGCGAAAACCCTGTGTGTGAGTGTGTTTGTGTGTGTTCGTCTGTCCGAGTGCTTGTACTCAGCAACCACGCAAGCTCTGATGCTGAAATTTTGCCAGTGTGTTCTGTGGCCAAGTACGACCACAGCAGTGTGACATCAAATGTCACGCAAGTCTCACGTACGGACACATGAAAGTTTTGGCGAGGAAATTTCCAACTCACAAACGAAAAACGCTAGAAAGCTGAAACTTTACGCACAGGCATGTGAGAATTCTGAGGAGGGAATTGCTAACTCGGGAGCGAGAAAAGCTGGAATTTTAAGGGAATGTTCCCGACTCATGTGCGACTGAAAGATTTCATATCCAACTCTTTTAGCGGGGTTTTTTTCACGCGCCAGCAACTTTCCGTCTGTTGGGCCGTTGAAGTCGACATCTACACCTGACACACCACATAGCTGCACAATTAACTTTCCGAACTTCGACAGCCAGATTCTAGCCACTGTGATTCCTTGCGATCTTGCTACCGCACAACATACTGCAAAAACGCATGATTGCACCGGCCCGTCTACTGCGTTCCAGCCTGAGTTTGAATGAACATTTCTGTCTATCGCACGGAGCATGCATGTTTCTGAATTGAAAAGTAGAATTGAGGCTTAGCAACTTAAAAGTTTAGTAATTTGTAAGGAAAATTCAAGACCTTAAGCTTTTCTGCGATGCCCTTTGTATAATCAAATCGTTCCACAGAGAAGAAAATACATCCGCGATCTGATCCAGCAGAAAGCAACTGAAAAGTCACGCTCAAACAACCTTACTAAAAAAATCGTACTCTCTCTTGTTATCTTCGACTGTTAGATGTATTTAATGCAAATTTTATCTACTAAGTTCGGTCTTCAAAGTCCGGCTAGCTTCATCCACAATGATCAATTTAACCGCCATTTTCAGGCTATTATCCGCTTGTTCCGAGTAGTATTCTGCAAACAAAGCTCGTTTTTACTAAGGGAACTGAACATCCCATATATGTGGAACGCAGTCGAAGTGTCATCTGAAAAAATTTTACAGAACCACTTTGATGAGTCAGATCGTTTAGTCTTTTCATTTAAACGGATGCTCCCCTGATGGTGATATGAAGCTATCACGAAGTGAACAAGAAAAAATTAATCGAAAAACGCGATGTTTATTAACAGAAACAAAGAGCAGCCTAAAAAAAATAGGATGAAAAAGAGTGGCGAGCAAGACAACCTCCTGACGAATTTCGGATGCCTGGTTCGCGGCTTCTGGTTGTTTTGCAATGTTCAGGAAATCCTCGTTCTTGATTGATACTGGGAAAACACCCAATGAACAAGTGAAGCCCTAAACGAAGCAATTTGAAAAGCACATAACAGTCGGCTTTCCACGCTCTCTTACCACGCTGTCCAAGCTAATTCAACTCACTGAAAAACTTATTAACGGATTACATCATGTGCAATGGTGAATATGTCAACGGTACTCTCGTATTGGATCCGCACACGGGAAACATGCTTCTTTACCAGCTCCACATATTTCTGCCGATCCCGGTGAGTCTGGAAGCCCACCTGGAAAAGGTGTGAGTTATCCAAGCAAAGAAAACTGTATTCGACGTAAAATACTGATTGAAAAGACCGAAGAACAAAGATAAAAGTAGACGTGCAGCGAACATTACAAATATTTACAAAATGGTAACCCGCTTCATATTTTCCAGCTTTTACACGATCCAAAGGCACAAATGTTCAGCTAACTGACTTTAGTGAACCGAAGAAGTGCCCGCATTATTGGCTCAGCAACGATACGATATTTGGTCATCCAGTTTTCCGGAGGCTGGAATGGGATGTGCAGGAAAAAGCCAACCTGAAAAGCACTTGTAGCAAAATCTCAAGAACAGTCATAACTGTGCCGAGTAATCAGCCTCTGGCAAATGGAATAAAAATGGCTCGCCTCAAGATTACTGTCTAAACTCCGCATCATCTGGCCTGTAAGCATGAGATGATAGTCGTGAATCCAAATGAAATCCTGTGGGCGGCTATTTCGGACAGCATTGATCCCAAACTGATAATTTACCCGAACGTATGCACACCAGTGCTCGCGCAATACCTAAACTACACAGTTAGATTAACCAGCATGAAGTGGTCAAATAGCAAAAACTACATGCAAAAACCTCCTGAAATTTTTAGTTAGAATCCAAGAAGCAGTTAAAGAAAGAAATTAAAGAAAAAAAAAAGGAAGATGAAAGAAGCCCATAATGCACGCCTGCTCGTCATCATAATCTTTGACAATATATTCGGACAGATTGTGCAACGCTGGCCAGAGTAGCCCGTTACTAATACCACCATAATATGTATTGTAATCTTCCTGGTTCACAATTACGGGATTGAGCTGATAATTAGACTTGTTGTAATCTTGCAGCACAGATAACAACGACATGTCACGCCTTAAAGAAACTAGCAATGTGAATAAAATTGATTTAAAACTAAAGAAAAAAAAAAAAACGCCGCATCAATAACATCCAAAATTTTCATGCTTCGAGTGGCACTTCCTCTATACCGATTACTGTCATATTGGTATCAATATGAACCAACTCATGTTACGCATTCGGATAAGTCAAAAGTATGCGGGAAGCAACCTCAAAAGCCCATGAACAAAATCAATGGAAAAATTCACTCGACATCTCTCTCATTTTCCGTCAGTGTGTTTGGCTTCGGGTCGTCCCCCAAAACGTGGAATATTTCGCCAGCATTTGCCTGTTGAAGAAGTGGTAATCCAAGCGAGTTAGTTGACGGCGCTCCCTAAAAAAAGTTGTGTAGTATCATCTGAGATCCTATAGGATGGGAGGAAAAATACTTGTACTTACATGTTCATCAGAATGGCGTCGTTGACATCCGTTCAGAGGCACTCCAAGATTCGCAAGCCAAACATTCTGCTTATCGATGCTCATTACTGGATCAACGCATGCTACAAGCCCACCGCTGCCTTGTTGAATCTCCCAGCTTCCACTCACTTTGCGTTTGAGGGACACCGGTGGCGCGTTTGATACGTTTATTACGCGCTGCTGTAAGTGGACTTTTCATACGTCACAGTACCGGGCCACATTTAAAAAAAAAAAACTAAGTGCTCGTTACATAACCCATAAACTTATCGCTCCGAATGTGTGAACAGTTCAGACAGCAAAGAAGGCTCACAACCAGACGGTATCACCGGCTTGTTAACATCAAAGTGACATGAAGCTGCGTCATGGCATCAAAAGTACAAAAGGTTACCCGAGCTGACCACTTTTATTCAACGGGGTGATAATGGATACGAACAGTGTCCCCCCGCCCTCCCCTCCCCCTCCTCTCCTCCGTGCCTTTCAGACCTCATGAGTTTCTTGTTTCCGTGTATTCGTAAGCAGCGAACCAACACTGTTCTACATCTGTCATTATTGATACATAACGTATTTTTGGTAAGAAAAGGTTTTGCTAATTATCCTCCACAGCTATACGTGAACTCTTGCCGTCATCGCAAGGATTCACGTATTACTCTTGCCGTCACCGCATCAACGTGTGTACAAAACGTCTATTAATGATGCAGATAACTTTAAATGCCAAGAAATGCACTAATCGCCAAAATTATGTTACAGGACAGGAAGGTGTATCCACGTTACACAAAAAGCGCGCATTTCTTGACCGATGGCTTTTGCAGCTCAGTAATAACAGGACGAAAGAACACAAAGGGGGAGGACGTTTCAGTCCTCATGGACGTATGCTACCATCGTCAAAAATCAAAACTCCCATCATATTTAGTTTTTGTGAGGTTAAGCACTCCGAATTACCCGAGCAACAGCAAATGTCACGAGCACCCGCTGGCAAAGCTTCCGATGGTTCCTTCTTTCGAGAACTGCTTACACAAGCTGATGACGGCAGTGCCAGTATGCTGTTATGAATTGAAGCAGAAACTAAATTAATTTCCCAATGACAACAACTGTTCGTTAAATTTTAGCTTGCGCCAATTATGACAGCCTCGATCTCCTGAATGGGATGTAGAAACCTGAGGAATTTAGAAAGAAATATAAACCCGATGATGCGACACTTCAGTTAGCCCACCAGCCCCAGCAAGAGAATCACTGTCTGCTATAGGTTCATCGAGTTCTAGCTCTGATATGTCCAGGTTTTCAATCGAACCCTGTAGGCTTGACTTCCGCGAATTTGCTCGACTCCTCACCATCTGCAAAGGCATTGGATCCACATATTTGAAAATTCCGATTTCAAAAGCAATTAAATATCATACTTTTAGGGGTTTTAATAACAGACGTACAGGTTTAAACTGATTCAGCAGTAATAACTAGCGCTGAAGTGCAGCAAAATTTACGTAGAAATGTCCGGTGGCTTAACTCTCGTAATTGCATGCATATGCGCTATCTAAAACAATTTTGTGCTGTAAAATCTCATATCATTTAAAAAATTGTTGCTTCGCGTGTGAGCAAAAAACTTTTCCTACAGTTGTTTTTAAACAGAGAGTTATGAGGATGTCTGTGTGTTGCTGTCACTAACAACTTCTCGCACCTTCCAAATTTTGACGCACATATACATATTATACATTCCTTCAAGCGTACTGCGCATTCCGGATGAAAAAGACAATCACATGAGCTTCTGGAAAAGATCATAAATAATGCAAATTCTAATTACTTGTAAATGACGATATTTTTCGCCGAAACGTTTCGCATGAATGCCAAGCATACTTTGTCTAACGCCCGGCACAGCAGCATAAAGTTCCCTGGAAAATATTTCAAACGGTCACACAATGTTCACTGCGGATTCCTACTCAGCGAATGTGAAATCCACCCTTGAAAAAATTCTGGCAGCTCCGTCTTCTCTGCCACTCCCCCTCCCTCCAATATGTATGCTAAATGCAAACTATTCGAAAAAGAAATTAATGGTGAAGGCATAAATTCCACAGTGCCTAGAACGCATCACCCTAGTCTTTCTACCAATACAAAACTCTTTTTCTCACGTTTGTGCCTTTTCTTCCATTTTTGCACTTATGCATAAATTAGCATGATCATGCGCGATTAGGTTTTGCAGGTATCGTCTTGACTAGCTCCACTTTTCTAGCCTACTTTATCAGTGGTGAAAAGTACAGCAAAAAAAAGCTAAAGATGATAAGCAGCACAAAAGGAAGGTCCACAAAAACGCCTATCCCTACGTTCCAAATCAATTTCATATTTTTTATTCGTACTTGTACAAATACAAAAAATCTTACTGACAAGATCCTGTGTCTGTCACGCATTTTCCCAACCATGTCAAATAAGCTAATGTTTTGGAAACTTAGTCATTCGCACTATACTGATTCTGCGCTCTAATAAAGTCAAAATAATAACTTCATTGATTTTAAGCTAATATAATCTTTTTGCTATGCTAATGCAGAATTCGCAGTTCAGTAATTTCCGGTGTTTTAAAGGACGAGGATAGGATCTTGTTGAAGAAATGTTAGAAATAAATGGGCATTATCTAAAGAAAGTTGACAGCCGGTAAATGTGGCGTATTAGCGAGCGGCACTCGCGAGAAATTAACGACCACTCCGGCGACCCTCGAAAAAGTGACTCACACACATCTAAAAGGCGTTTGGCACTAACTAGAGCTATGCAAGCTCGGGACCTGTTCGACATAATTCGATGATGAAAGTATTTTTTCGTATATTCAATCACTGGCGACGCGCACTGGGGGGCCCCGTGCGATCATGCGTTTTTGCAGTGTTTCGTGCTGTA